CGATAGGTTTTTAGTAGGTCTAATAGGTTTTTAATAGGGTCTTAGTAGATTATATCTACTCTGATAGCTAATAGGATCTAATATCTTGTATTTGCTTTTATATCTCCCTTTTGCTAGCTAGAATTAGACCTATTGTCAGCCTATATATGTGTGTGTATGGCTATGTGAGGTTGGTTGACCAGCGGCCCGCCAGCCAACGGCCCGGACCGGACCATCGTTTTTCCCGCAGAAGGACCCCTCTGCATATACCTCTTCAACAGAGAGTTTTACCATGGCTAATTAGCTACCAATCGACCACGGATTCTAACATCCAGCTCCTTCCTAATCTATCAATTGGTCAGATCATCGATATATGATCGAATCATCGATTAGATCATTGATTTGGCCTATTTCCTGCTGCCTAAACTGTCCCAACCGTGTACTTAAACACCCGTTCGCTCGCTAGTTTAGTAGTTCAGATTTAATGCACTTTTCAGTCTATCCTATTGATCTCGTTTGACCGTCATACCTAGAGAAGATCTTATGAATTTAAGGTCCATCCGTCTTATCTTGGTCCTATTCGCTAGAAGAACTTCTATCTTGACTGGCCATCCTAACGTCCTATGTGGATCCTTTTTCATCGGATACACTAGGATCTGTTACCTATTAACCTTCTTAACAAAGATATATTCTCTCCTAATCTCCCTCCCTAAGTCTCTATTACTATTCGAGTAGCAAGATAACTTAAAGCTAGAGTTAGCAGTCTAACTATCTCCCTTCTCTATATAAGGAAGAGATAGATTAATCATCTTTTCTTTCTTCTTTATAATATCTTGTAATACTAATACCTAGTTTCTTTAGCTCCTATCCGATCGAAGGTAGTAAGCCTGATTTTCTCTAACTAAACAATCCTATCCCTCTATTACTTACTCGTGTTAGCCTAGACTAGAGAAAAGCCTTTGTTCTTTATAATAGTATAGCTTATACTAATGAGATCCCGGGAGCTTTTTCTGCCTTAGGCTCCCTTTGGTGTGGGCCTGGCCCCACTGTCTCCTTCCGGCCACTTCTGGTCACGTGAGGCCCCGTTCGGCCGCGCATGTGTATATAGTCTCTCTTTTACCATACTTAGAAGGGCATGCCCCCATCTACCCTTAGGATCACACTTCGAGGTATAAACAGAATACCTAGAATTACAGCCAAAAATGTATTATTTATACAGTCACGATATTTATCCCGTTTATACCCTAAATAGGTACAGATAGGTTTTTGATAGGTACCTATATAGGTCATGGGTTTTCGAGGAAAACCTATAACCTATGATAGGTCGGAGGTCTGGACCCAAAACCCAGCCTATCGATGGGTTTTCGATGTGTCCAAATGGGTACCTATGGGTCCTGCCGAAGTCTAGTTCTATAGGTCTCTTAGGCACTATAGCTTCTCGATAGTAGCCTAAGTAGCTATAAGGTTTAGATTAAGGTCCGATAGGGTTATTTAACTAGCGTATATAGTTTCGGTTTCTATAATTATTAGTTCGTTAAGGGTATAAGGAGGATTCGGTGCCTCTTCGGTAGAGGGAGTAGAGTAAGTTATAGGTATTATCTCTCCTAGATAGTCGAAGAAGAAGAAACAGAATTATTATAATATTAACTACTTACAGGGTAGTAAGCCTATTAACTAGGTAGGAGGGGATAAGTACTAGGTTAGATTAGAACAGAGACTGTTTCTTAGGGGGCCTTTCTTCTTTCCCCTAAGGCTAATCTTATATATATTCCCTATCAACGGAAGGAGGGATAACCAGGTAAGCGTATCAGCCCGTATAAGAAATATGTCGGTCAGCGGGCAACTGTCCTCCCACGAAATAGCGGTAGAAGGGGGCTGAGAGATCACCGAACTGGTGCGTCATACCCAACCTCCTAGGTAGCCTTAGGCCGAAAAGTGTGAATGGCCGCATAGGGGTCAATACCATAATATAAGGAAACCGAAAGTAGAAGTATAGTACTTTCATAAGGGGGTAGAGGGTAGATATAGCTAAGACCTATAACCCTTATACCGATAATCTATTAAGCCCGGTTCAGGAGTAATCGGTTGAATTCTTTCTATAGGTCCTTTATCTGCAAAAGGTTAGGTAATCTCTATCCTGGGTATAATTTTCCGTGGGTTCGTGATATGTGTAACTTTCTATGCGTCTCTATAAAAGCATTGTATAGAAAGCAGGCGTCTTTGCTCGACGCAATGACCCGTGGAAACAATTCAGGAGTTAACTCGATCTCGTAATAGGCAATTAGCTGTATCTCCGAGTGAATTTTTGACTCTTTCAAAGTCTTCTGGACTTCAATTTTTATAGAAAGGATGTTTAATATATTTGAGCTACAATTTAGTGACATATAAAAGAACTAAGCTCTTTCAATAAACATAAGTTTTCACCACATAAAATAAAGGAGCTCCCGCTGCTAAACTGCATGTAGTTAGGCAAATCATGAATACCTTAACCCCAAACCAGTACATAGTTTTTGTTCATAACATGAACAATAAGATCTCCATTCCCATTTGCTGCCAGAGACCCTCCAACTTGTCCATTAACATTACAATGAGTAAAAATTGACTGTACAGCCAGTGCCACGTCCCAGCTAGATAGAATTAGTTCATGGCACAAAGTCATGTAGATTAAAGGAAGCAAAATCAGAGACATACCAAGCCGATTCAGCAATGGGAGGCCAAGGTTGAAAAGGTACTCGTTGGACAGCATTTGTTGCTACAATCTGAACATCTCCAACTGCACATAACTGGGGTGGCGCGCCAGGTTTGTTTCTTTCAGGACATGGATAGTTTCCAAGGGCGACAAGGTAGTTAAAGCAAGCAATTACATTGCTAACACTGGCAGTATCACCGTTTGATTCGCACTGGGGTGTATCTCGGGCGATCAGCTTTCTGTCGGCGGATCCGGCTACAGGCAATAGTGAGTTAGTTCCTTGCACAGATTTTGGTACGTACAAGAGGGTGGTATATAGTTACTGACAGACAACAGGAGTTGTTGTGAAGAGATCTGCTGATCTCAATCCAAGCTCGGCGAGGGATGGGAGTCCTGGACCGGGAATGACCTCAGGGTATGAGGATGCAGCTGCTCCTGCGACAAGAAATATGAGACCAAGAAGTTTGGAAATCATTTTGGGAAAGTAAAAGGCAGCTAGAGGAGATTTTGGAGTTATAGCTTAGCCAGGAAAATAAGAAAAGAAATTCTTTGTGTTTTATTCTTTTCTGATTTCTTACTCTATCAACGGCAGGCAAAGACAGATACATATAGCCCCCTGACTTAGACCGGGAAATTGGATTTTTATCACTCAGGACAGAAAGTCAGATTCGGAAACGGCGCCTTAAGCATTAGTGAATTAATGATATGTAAAACAATGCAGCTCATAACTAGTTCCGGTTATGATTCGTTTTAATTTGGCGTAGAACTTCCTAATGGGGCCTAAGCTTGCCTGGAGGCGTTCTTACGCTACTATTAACATCTCAGCTGAGTTTGGATACCGACCAATCAATGACCTTCCTTTAGGCGATCTGACATCTTCCCCGTAATCAATTTGGAATTCTTCTGGCTCGCTCGCCCTCAATTTTAGGGACTGGTGACGCGCGCTCCACAAGCTCCGCACGCCTCGCATCCCCCGCGTTCAGCCTCTCACCCCTTGGCATCCTAGCGTGTACGCTAATATGATGGATGGATGGGTGATCTTATTTACGCCGAACGCTCGCTTTGAGCTAGTATTACCCAAAATGCCAAACCGTACCCATACTAACATAGCGGATTGCGATTTAGAATCCAACTCTTTGGGTGATATACAGCCTACCACGATGGTGTAAATACGTTCAGCCTTCATTAGTATTTGGAACAGTGTACCGGCCCTACCTCTCTCTCTACTAGTGGTCAGGAGTACCTTGTCCCAAATACTGATGAACGGCCGCTATATATCTGTCTTCCATGAAAGTTTTATAGTAGATTTCGAAAACAGATTACGCCCAAGACACACGATTTCTTTTCCAGCGCCACACTCCAATTGTAAGAATACCAACGTTGGCTATATTCTCCGGTGTTCGGTATTCATTTGTTTGGGCTGAATGAATTCTGACAAAAGTTGTGTTCTAGAGGGAGCCTTGGGTGGGGTCGAAATAATCGCGTCAAGCAAAGTTCAGCTTGGTCCCATTTAGGAAATCGATTCGGCCAGCCAATGGTAGCTGGAGTGACAATCACATGTATATCGCTAGCTTGGAATTATAGTGCCTGTATCTGAGCAAGATGTTCTTTATTTCAGAACGCGTTCTTGGAATCATAAATTGATCTTATCCACAATATCAGGTTTGCTAGCCATTTCGTGTGGCAGCACCGACCCGCTGGTTTTTAAAGCCACCGCTCCGTAGACGACATTGGTAGATAGGTAAGGGATGTTAGGAGTTGACTGCGTAGGCTCAGTCGTGGCAGGACTGACCAGTGAGAACGGAGCGATTTGCTATTGCTTCCTTGCGCTATGTCTCTACATAAAGTCCACATGCTTAGTTTTAAAAACTCGTTCTATACCCCGTATACATGCGGCGAGAACCAGATGCTCCTATAATTGAATATTGACCCTGGAGATGAAGCATGTGCTCCCTGCTGCTAGTCGTGGCTCAAGGTAAGGTAACAAGAAATAGGAAACTACTCTTTACAGGGGTAGAGCACTGGTATGAAAATGTCGCTGAAGTGCTGTTGGCGCAATATGAGTGCATAAACTATCAAATAGCTCCTCTTCCTGACAAGGAGAGTAATCACGCATCTGCATGCGATCCATTCCAATTTGCAACAGACCTGTAGAAGGGCAAATATCTGAAAGGAGGAATATGTCTTGGAACACTACGGCGGTTTGCAGTTGACCATTAGGTAAGATATCGTATAGCCAATTCCTATCATTCAGACTTGTAAAATAGATGGTCTGCTTGTTAAAATGGTCCTCTAAGTACAGCCGTTTACTCCTTGAAGGTCCATAGGTGTCTCAACTCTGCTGCAGCCATCCGATGCGCTGTTCAACTAGACGGCCAGACTCAGCCTTTAGGTTCTTGTGGTCGCCGAATGGACTTCCTGGTGTAGTTTAGCAGAACGAGTATTGGAGGAATCCCATATAATCTGATACAGTTAGTTTAAGGCCTCCACCTGGGGCCATGGATACTCTAAAACCCTATCCCCCTTTCCTGTCTTTCGTCATAGGGAACAGCCAAATAAGGAGACTTAATAATTGCTTTTTCGTTCTGTAAGGCCACCCGTACGTTATTCAGACATGATGGAGTATCATTGACGGGCCTTTCTATGTTTGAACCAGATGCTATTACCAAAGCTCCTGACATTAGCACTTAGGGTGAAGCTAATGATAGAAGTGAGTAGAGGCTCTTATTTAGACACTGCATTTAGAAATGTTACTGAGATTTGGCTATCAAAGCCTGATTGGATCGTGGGTACAGAAAAGGCTCATATCAAAAGTCATCTAATAAAACTAGTGATCTCTAGCCAATAAGACTAGGAAAAACATAAGGAAGAGACGTAGTCAAATGATACTAAAGATGATGGTGATTCTGAATCTATCTATAGAAGGATAGAGCTAGGCTCTGATATAGACAGAGAAACGCCCGATTCTCGGTATCTTCTAAAGGCTAAATATGGAAGGCTACATACGCCAATATCCCGGCAAAGAGCGCTTCGTTATCCTATCTCAACAAATTTCCTAGATAAAGAAAAGTTCACAGGAAAGGAAAAATAGAGGCCATTCTAGTGCAGTAAGCCCGGAAGCTGTGTTAGTAGACGGAGTGGGTGAAGCTGTCCGCGTACCGGTCGACACATTGGTTATCCCAATAGACGTGGCTGTAGCAGAGGACTCTGTCGAATTTTGCCATCTCTCAACCACATATTGAACCATGGTGGTGTTGTATCTCGAAAGGTAGAGTCCATGAACAGCATCGACTTGGCCTGCATCGCAAAACTTGTCACCTTTGTCGCACCAGGATGCCATGCGGTCGCTGTACTGCTTGCACACTGTGTTATTCGCCCGTGGTAAGGTCTAATTAAAGAAAAAGAAAACTTAGTACGTTTCAAAGGAAGTTTAGAAAGATCCAACAAAATGATAGTAGATATGTCCTCGGTGTGACTCCTTACTCCGTTGTGAGTGCTTGTGCCACGATCGTAGGTTGTGTTTGCAATGTGTGTTGGGTCACCGAACAAGATGGCCGCCACAACTAAAGTTGGATTAGCTTCAACAGATTCTCGACGGCATCAGGGGAATTCACCGCTGCTCGTAACGATATCTGGCGATAGCGGTGCATCGTGGTTGAAGTCGCCACCAGCGCCGCCGCAAAGGACATCAGAGACTAATTGGGCGCCCTAACAATCTGCAGGTTAGTATATTCATCAGTAACTAACAAATTCTTCTTGTCACATACCTGTGAGTAACCCAAGAGGGCCATTTTTGAATCCGGGCATGAAGAGTGGTACTCTTTTGCTAGTTGCAGCATAGTAGTTGCCCCGTCATTCTCTGACTGTACATAGTCATTCAGCGTTGCAGGATATTCCACGCCCATAATCAGGGAGTCTTTAATCTGCGCTGCAATAAGTTGTGCCAGATACCCAGGGCTCCCAGTGTTCACGGGGTAGAGTCCATCCTTGCTAGCTGCTGCTGGCTCATCAGTGCCTCTGGCCACAATCATGTACAGACCACCAGTGCAGTTTGAGTTTGCTGCTGCAGTGGCAACGGCCAAGAAACCAGCTTTGATTAGGATACCACGCATATTGGGCAATGATAAGGTTTACAGAATGGACTTTGTTGGTTGCTGCTTTTTCCCAAGGAAGAAAGTGTGAGCATTTCAGTAGTTATATCTACAACTGGATGTTTTATTAGGCGCCCCTCTGTTCTAAGCGAGGTCCGCCCCTACTTGCAACTGACTTGTTAGATGTGTGAATACAAAAAAGAATATGCCTTGAGCACCGACTCTGTTAATATTTATTTGACATTCAGCTAAGCCTTACTGTCTCCGCTATTCATCTGCAGTGAGCTCATTGGCCTATTTGGTGATTCGAAACTCTAGCCAACAGGGGCGCAGCCTTTCGCTTGTACTTTGTCTCACCTCAGCTGGGTCCATGCAGACATGAACTTGATACGGACCCCTTATTTGTCATTCTTACTCTCAACGAGGATATTGAGCGACTTGATGGGGGCGCATGGGTAACTGCCCCCACAAAACTTTGGTTATATTGCATGTTTGTTGTCAACTCGGACACGTCATAGAAACTACACCTGGACCTGCAGGAAGTTGCTGGCAAACAATGTGTCAGGTACTAGAAATATCCTGTTTGCAGAGGCTTTGAGGTTGATTGGGAATCATTCAATTAAATCTTGTTGAGCATCATGTCTATGTAGGCCCGGGAAGAGAATGTTGACCTCAGTCGACTGGACCACCGTGGCCGCCGCTACCCTCGGTATCATTGAGGCCACGACCACGGCCATGGCCATACTGAGGCTACCGTTAGGAGTCATTGTTCATGAGGAATGATGTTAGAAAAAATTTGACATGTTTGACGTCCTACTCAGGGGGATTGACCTTTTTAAAAAGTGGTGTGATCGCCAATCATAGTACATGGCTGGCTTATTATTAGTGCCTAGTTAGTTCGAGAAGAGGGGATATGAGAAGTCTATCGTTATTATGATTGGTTCATCATAGCAAGTGGGAAAAAAATCCTTCGCCATTCTTAAATTGTTGTCAACGATCCTACGGATGTTAAAATGCTTGGAGAAGCCTAGTTAAATGTATGTACAAACAAACATATCCTAAACACAATATTGAAGCTAAGGAATCAGTCGAAATACAACACACAACTATTTGAATATTGGACTCTCACCTCAGCATAGAGCTTAGAGTGGATGCTGGACTCGGGACAAAAAGGGGATCGACCTTGGGACGGCTTAGTGAGGGACCGAGCCGCAAACTGAGGCCGCTGAGTTTGACGACTTTGGGGGCTAAAATGGGCTGAACACGAAGTGAACATTGCGGAGACTGCTGATGATTTGGAATTCATTGTGAGTAGGTGCATAAACACTCCATGGTCAGCGCTAAAACCCTGGGCCTATCTTAGGGCCTAACTTAAACTTAGACTTCCACTTGGTTTTAGTTATACCTTAGCCTTTTCGGGGATCTAGACGCAGATCGGACTATTGAGACACAAGGCTTCTTCCGATCGACAGTTTGCGGCTGAGCTGGGGCGCCTAAGGCCGCTGTGATAGGCTGGCCCGTTTTCCAACACTCTTTTCGTATTTGGATTTATTGGCGAGGAAGAGTAGGTATGCTGGTCCTAGAATCTTCATTTAAGCAAGTTTATAAGCATACTTGTAGAATGATCAAAGAAGACAATAATCTTCAGGACCATCAATTTCCACACCGATATCTCTGTTCCACGAAATGGGTGGTCTGCCTCTTTGGAGAAGCCCCTTGGTAAGCGGTTGCCTGGCTGCCCAGTTGGCCAGACCTAGGCACTTACAATGTTTTCCAAGTTTGAAATCTAACCAGCTCTAGTCCAAGGCGAGTGATCGACGAGGTCAAGCAGTCGACAATATAGCTGATGTGACAACCCGAGACGAGACGCTCTTTGAGAATCCACAGTTCGAACATTATGAATCAACATCCAATATTCAGCTGTTCTTCGACCTCTTCTTTGTTGCCAATTTGACCTCCTTTACAAATTCTCATGAGATCAACAGTTCATCAAGTCTGTCCCGAATCTACTCCCCGGACTTTTGGTCACTCTACTGACTTCAGTCCCCTCACACCCAGAGCTAAGCTCCTACATCGGGTTCTTCTGCATCTTGTGGTTCACCTGGGCTCAGGTCACGCTATATGATGTCCGGTTCGCTACAGACAGCATCATTGAACGCATCGCCCACGCATGCCATTTTGGAGTTATGGTCGGGCTCGCGATCATTGGACCAGAGTTTCTGGCGGAAGATGACGGATGGGGGCCTCTGCAGCAGCTATCACTCATCCTGATGGTGAACCGTATCGTTCTTTTCTGTCAATATGGTTCAACTTTATTCTTTACCTGGAGGTATCGTGCCACCCGTCTACCATTGATGGTCGTGATGGCGTCTCTATTTGTCGCCGCGGTCCTTTATTTCGGTCTATCGTTTGCCTTTTACCGACGTACGGCTTACGACGCATATCTCGCGTGGTATGTAGTTGCTGTGATGGAGGTCGGGGTTAACCTGGCCCTGGCAGCCCATTGGCGAGCTATGTCATTTGAGAAAACACATCTTGTAGAGAGGTTGACTTGTTTGACACTGATCATTGTACGCTACCCAGTCCCATTTTCGCATCGGGAAGCAGAGGCTGATTTAAACAGCTCGGCGAGGGGATTATCGGCCTCACCAAGACAATTGTCAAGATTGAGACATATGACCTCAGATTCACCTCCGCCGACATTGGCTCTATCATATCAGCGGTACTGGTTATTGTAGGAGCCCCAACCCCTGGAGACTGAAGCAAATGTACTAATATGTAAAATAGTACTTTACTTACCAGCTATATTTTGATAATGTCCGCATGGAGCCGTTTGGTTCCGTCCACCAGCAGCTTTGGTCTATACTCCACTTTCCTTTCCATCTGGCCCTTGCTCTCATGATGGAAGGAACAAACCAGATCCTACTGTGCACTCATGTCGTTCAAGACCTTTTCAAATTGTCGGCTCCCTTCCAAGGTGAGGCTACTCCACAGGTTGGGCTCATTATGCTGAATGAAACGGTTCATACCATCTACGAGAGATTTCCCTCCACAGAGGCTGTAATCAACGAGGTTGAAGAGTCGTTGCATGCACTCTTAGAACCTGCTACCAACGCAACGCAGGAAGAGACGCTAGCAAACTTCCAACTCGTGCTGAGACAAATGGCTAAAACAGTCATTGAAGGCTACGGCTGGGAACCTCCAAAGGCAGTCGCCGAGGAGGACTTCAGTGGATACGCAAATTCAATCGTATCGATTTTTAACCTCACTTTTGGTAATTATTTAATTTCTTATATTGATTGTGTAATTATCCATCAAAGCCTTTAATACTAACCAATGTTTTATACAGGATATTTCTGCATCTGTGTCGGCCTGGTCTGTTTGATAATTGGCGTTCTCACATTATTGTCACAAGGAGATGGCTATTCGCGTATGCGTTATATCAGTATCGGCGCCAATATCCTCCTCGGTCTGGCTATTACACTGCTGAGCACCATGGTCCTAACCGACGCGGCAGGGAACCTGGGCACAACGCCCTGGACACTTCCAGCGCTCTCATTGATCTTACTTACTTGTATGTTAATATTGCTCTGAGCAGATGGTTTGATGTGATGCTAATACGATTCTAGTGATTATTTTACATCACATTGCTATCTGACCCCAGTATATCTCCCGCAAGACGGAAACGCGGAGATAACTAAATGCTTGGTTGGTTTGTTTGCTTGATGTGGTGATAAATGAGGGGGAAATTCATCGAACCCTTTAGGATGTGGCGGAAAGGGCCTTCTGTTAAATCTGATGCCCAGAAATCAAGGTTAAAAAGAAAGGCATAGCTAGGGGTTTGATATAGGACTACGGGATATATAGAGCTACTCTTAGGTTCTGCAAAGATGATAAGAGAGATTTTCCAGCCCGACTATAGCTTATAGTGGTTAACAACATTTGAAGAAAGTATAGTAGAGTAAGAAGGACGGCATGGTTATATAAGGGTAAGGCTGTTGGCACCTAGTGGAAAGTCTGGCGGCACCTAGTGGGGCCTGATTTCTGCCTGATTTCTGCCAAGCCCGTCATACTCTTTCAATCACGAATTTAACCACCCCCTCCCTTCTTATATACACGCAGCCTTTCCTTCTTCTCTAAAGGCACTAGATTGACGTATGGAGGCAGAGAATCGATAAAACAGTTCAGAATCGTTCGAATTGCATTCAAAGTTGACGAATAGTTGAGTAAAGCAGGAGTTAGAAGCTGTAATGAAGACGGAGATCTAGAGTGGGGAATTACACCGCCCGCATTCCTATTGGGTAACAGACTCCGAATGCACAACTGACTACTCAAGGCGCTAAACCCGAAATCACTAAAGTCAAATTACGGTATTACATATTACATAGGTATTTTCCGATGGCCGCACTGTCCGACCCTAGTCATGACTCATGTGCCCATTCCTTGGCGATATCCGCGCATTAAATAATCGAGACGCTGCTGGTGGCAACTCAATGCCGACATCCTCAGGTGAGATTTACTTACCAATACGCTCCGTGGTCATGGCCCCCAGCAGCAGAGTCAATCATTGGCCCGCTGGTGTTGTAAAAACTCCAGAACAACTATTACCAAGCTCAAAGAAGGAGAAAAGATCTTTCGTGTGTCAATATTGCGGCAAACAATTTCTACGAAACGAGCACTTACAACGCCATGAACGACTACGTATGCTTCGCAAACTCTGCAGTTATAGAAGTTATCTTGCTTATTCCTGAACACAGATACCAAGGTGAAACCTTTTCGTTGTACGGAATGTTCACTGAGTTTTACACGAAGGTCTCTCCTCTCATTAGATGATATTTCCTTTGCCTAACTCGGATTCACTGATAGAATTGGCATGCAGAGATCTTCTTGTCCGTCATGGTAACCTTGCACACAGTGATTCTCCAAGCGGCGCTTTCTCTGGCCAGAATGACCAGACTCGAACAGCAAATCCTGTGGTGCCTACGGGCGGGTCGAATATCCCGAATGAGCCGCCATCTTTAGATCCCAACAGAGCTGGAACCAGGGCTATGCGCAACGACCCAGTCTCTTACATGTCAAGTTCGTGCTCTTTTGCCGACCGCTTGTCTTCTACTACAGATATAGAGGGAGCAGTCACTTGCCAAACCAGCAGCTCTGCGAGTAATGAATTTTCCGTGAGCACCTCAACAGAATCATTGGCCGCATCATCGTCTCAGACATCACAGTTCCCATGTACTCAGCAAAGGAGCGACTTTGGCGACTTTGGGCTATTCCTTGACAGCCTGAGCTTGTCATACTCCAACTTCTCGCCCGCCTTTCATATTCGGGAACCAATTGCACCTTTCTTATATGCCCCGGGGTCCGACGAAGGCAGACCTGCCGTCCCATATCCAGGACCAAGTTTTTCAAATAATCCACTGCAATTGTTTGATGAATTTTCCTCGACATTGCCTTCGCTTGAGCTACCAGCAACCTCAGCTAGTAGCAAATCATCGACGCCATGGGAACCCTGGAGAATTCACCAGGCGGACTGGGAGCATCTATTTGCCAGAATTCAGGGTTACATCACTGTTATCTCCTCGGACTTTTTTCTCCCTTCTCGCCATACTCTTAGTCGCTATATTGCAGCTTTCATTTCGGGATTTCATCGTCACTTACCATTCATCCACACCCCTACACTCGCAGTCACCACTTCACCGATTGAGCTCATTCTGGCTGTAACCGCCATTGGTGCTCAGTGTTCCTTTGACCGCGATAATGCTGTTAATTTATTTCATGCATCTTATGCCATAGCTCTGGCTCGGCTTCACCAACGCAAAGCGATACGTCAGGCTCAATCACTTCCAACGAGACATGGCTATTCTGTGGAAAGCCAGTCGACGACTCTTAATTTGGCTTCGTCCGAATCTTCAACGCCAGTTTGTAGGTTGCTCCAGGACCAGAGTGGAACAGTCCACCCCGATGAACGATATGATCCATTGCCGGTCGCTCAAACGTTACTTTTACTCCTGGCAATGGCGACTTGGGGAAATTCAAAGGAAATTTTCAACCAGGCTCTTGGTCTCCAGAGTACCCTGGCAAATTTTGTTCGAGAGGAACGGCTCTTGAAACAAGTCACTACGAACGATTCGTCTTGGCATCAATGGGCCTACGCTGAAGCGTTCAAACGGACACTCGGCTGCATCTTCTGCTTTTCCACCTTCCATACGATTGTCTACAACAGTCCACCACTGATTCTAAATTCCGAGCTTAATGTTCATCTTCCCTGTCGGGAAGCTGATTGGGAATCACCCACAGAGTCGGACTGGCAAAACGCAAGAAGGTTCGCTATCCCAGAGCCGAAGTTTCAAGATTGCCTTGGGCTTCTTTTCTCAAAAGATCCCTCGGAGGATTCCACGGCTTACTCTTCCCTGGGTGGTTACATTCTTATATTAGCCTTGATTCAACACATATATTTCCTACGCGAGATGAACAAATTCAAGCGCGACTCGAGTGGATCCCTATTACCCTCAGACGTCGCCGATGTCGAGCGGGCTCTTCAGAACTGGCAAAATGGGTGGGATGTGAATCCAGAAACAAATTTAAACCCGCGAAGCTCGCAAGGTCCAGTGTCCTTCAATTCCGCCGCCTTGCTGCGAATGGCTTATATACGGCTCAGTATGGATATTGGCCCATGTCGGACTCTGGAGACCCAAAATCCTCTCTTAATTGCAAGGGCCATGCAACAGAGCCCCCGTGTGAAGCTTGGTCCTAGGTTAACACGGGCTGTTTTGTACTCCGCGCATGCATTGAGTATTCCTGTCAAGATTGGAGTTAACATTGTTTCTCGCAATCAAGCCTTTATATGGTCTCTTCAACAGTCACTTTGCGCTCTCGAGTGCGCATTTGCACTCAGTAAATGGTTGGTTACCGTGCACACTCGTCTTCCTGGAGAGCCGTTTAATGAAGATGAGGAAAGGTTGATAGCATACATAGTGGACATGGTATCAGAGGCAGACTCGGAGTTTCGTCTGATGAGCGGTGGGGAAAGCTCGCTCAACTATGTTGAGCTGGCTGTGCGGGTTGTGCGAATTTGGGCGCGACTATACAGCGGTGAAGTCATCTGGGATGTGGTACGTCTGATGGGACAGGCATTAGAAGCGTACGCAAAAATTCTGGAGGAAAGTTTTGCATAAATTCCAACGGCTGCGCTGTTTGCAATTATGTCTGATGCAGTAATAGAATAGTGCATATCAAAACTTCGGGCACGATTTGTCGACACCACAGAGCGATCGCAGTCCCAGGAGGTTGGGCTGACTAGACTTGTAGCCTTCTTTGAGAGAGGAAATTACTCGGCGCCATTTCGTTTTCTAGCGGTACTCATACCCCAAGCAGTGATTCACACTAGCTCTCAAGAGACAGCAGATTGAAACTAAATCCGAAATGGTAGATCTGCGCAAAGTCGAATGAGACCATGCTGACTCGAATTCTTTGCTCGACTATATGCGACGGAAATACCGTGCTTGGGGCCGAGGGATCAAGAATGCCAAAATGGTGCACCAGAGCGACTTTTCGACAGAGAGCTAAGAAATATCTCCAAAATGCCAAGAAGAAACCCACATACATATTCAAGTTGTGGGTAGCAGCCAACCCGATCCTCTCAGTGCAATGTCTCCAATTCGCCAAGAAAGCTTGTCTACGCCACCATGACAAACGCTACTAACGCGAAGGACTGCGATCAAATAGACCAGCCACCTGAGCAAGCCTGTCACAAAATGGCGGTCTAGAGGGGGTGTAAAACTTACGCCGTGCTTTTAGGTCTGTCTCGGACATTGTGTTCCGACCTAACTCACTATAGACTAGACACTGGAAACGCGAATAAAACAAGCACGGCTCCCGAGTAGAGTACACAGAGCTTAGTAAATGACAACTTCTAGCCAGAGAGAGAAGCCCTAGAGGGTCATATATCCTATTAGTAGCTTGAAATCTCCTAGCATTGAAAGGAAGGCATTCAGCAGCAGGGGGAGATTATTGGGCCGAAATTTCATCTAGAAGCACTCTTCGAGAGGTATGCAACCTAGTTTTTCGATTTAGAAAGAATATTCAAAATCATCTTCAAGAAATCTATTGAGATCGCGGCATGTAAACACTCATTTCGAGCCCATTGGTGAAAGGCAATGTCATGTTCTGAAACCCATTTTCGGGATTTCGCAGATAGGCCAACAGATCTGCGTACCCCTTTGCTCCAGAGATAGTATTGTCGGTGATCACCACTGCGCCTTGTCGGAGATGGGGCTGTACAGTCTTAAGCGTGGGAAGAGCGAGTGCAGACCAAACTATTTCGGTGTATTCAGTACAGGGACACAAATCAGTCACGAAAGGGCTAAACTCACTGTCGAGAAGGAGAATATCGATGTTTAGTAACCCGCTCTTCAGGGTTTCAAGCAGGTCACCCTCTCTTAATTCAATCTCTTGCTCGACTGTTGTACCGCATTGTGCCCAGTATTTTCGTGCAATTGCGGCTTTTGTGTGCTCTTTTTCCGTCGCGATCACAATACCAGATTTGCCAGTAGCGGCCTTAACCTTGGCAACAGCAAGAGCAAGGTATATGGTACTAACTCCGAAACTGGTCCCTGCTTCAACGATATTGGTGGCCCCCATAGAACAGATCAGCTGGTACATGAATTGGCATTTGTCCTCATCGAGAGCGATGAATTTGTCAAGCATGAGCTGATCAAATGCATCCCTTGGGTTACCATCTGGACGCCTACCCTCAAGATCGCCCATAACTACCGACGAGAAAACTTTGCCGGTTTTCGAAATGGTAGCTTCCTGTTCCAGCGACATTCGATGGAGTTGAGAGAGGAGCTGTAATACATGCGGAGGGGCTTCGACGGGCGATGGGGAGGACATATTGTTCGAGAAGAGCATCCAATTTGCTCAGATAATGACGATAAAAACCAACCATGCGAGAGAGAAAGAAGACAGTCAACGGTGGATTTAAATACCTATTAATTTAGCGCATAGTCACGTGATTTGGTATTGGAACTGTGGCTTTCCGAAAAATACAGGAACGCTTGTGTACTGTTTTAACACCCATCTCCTCTGTGCAGCAGTTGCCCCGCCACGAACCCCTTTAATGAGCGCCTCATTTTTATAATCGTGAGTCGGGCTGGAGGTGCTCTGTCTTCTTATTAACGGTTCGAGCGAAATATGAGTTGCTTTAGATTATTTAATTAAAATAATCATTGATTTATAATTGATTTCGTAAACTGCGTTTTATTGGTAACCTCACACAGTCAAGAGGGATCAGGAACTGTGTATAATTTGGCCGTAACGGGTCATCTGTCGCTGTGGTCTTAGACCGTAGAGTCAGATAGGGCCCATCCGCGCTCCTTTGTAAGGAGGCAATGCGTCTGTATATTGTAATGGTTTCTATGTAAAGAGGGAAGGTGGGAGGGACAAAACAAGTCGTGACTGCATGAGACATGACGAGCTACCAGCAGAGGCGAGCAATTGACTCCCGTGAGACAGTTGCAGGAGGGGAGAAACCCCTCCATAGGCCCGCGGGCTCTGCGGGCATCACGTGAGGGAACCCCAATAAAACTTCTTCCCTACGAGACGCGTTGGCAGCCGCCGAAGGCCGCTGTTACGGGGCGCGGCGAGTAGGACGTTGGAGAGTTTCACTGGAAGACGAGCCCGTTGTACACTGTGGCCTTGAAACGAAAGAGTGTTGAAGAGTAAACTAGATCTGAAGAGATGACATGAAGCGGAAGGCTTGTTTCGGACAAGACGTGACAAATATGCACGGATAACAGGATGAGTCGGTTATAAGCATGCCAAGCCACCTACCACCATGTCGTGCAAGAAGTGATTGGTTGAGTATGGACGCGGAAATATATCGGTAAAGCTCAGCTGAACCATTCAAATGGGCTCTTAGTATATTTTGTCAGACTTGGGTAAAGCGTATGAACCAGTACGGTCGAATCTCATTCTGAGAGGATTGTTCAGTCTAGGTGCTGAATTGAGTTGAGCGATCCTGTCAGTTCGTGGAGACTAGTTGAACACTCCACGACCGTCTTATTCGCCAGCGGCAGCTCCTCCCAGATCAGAAGTGAGGCATTACGTAGGAATTCCGCGCGACTTGACTGGATGCTGATCCTGGAGACCAAGCCCGTGTCAGACTCCTGAACAGGAATGCCAAAGACCGAGTCGACGGTGCGACTCCGCTCGTAATAGATCACTGAGAGCGTTCGTTCCAGTCACGCATACGATGCGCTCGTCCGCCCTGATGCGATCACACATAGCACCCATTAAAAATGTCTTCCCTCGACCCAAAGGGCCGTCGATGGAGTAGCAGCCACCAATGTCTAACTGGTCCAGGAGATGATCGAATATGCCCCCCTGGTCTGGGTTCATCCTACCGTAATAGCTGGGTCTCGAAGAAGCTAAGTTCCAAGTCCAGCTCCGCGCAATGTCGAACGGACCCCGGTAGGCCACACTGCGTCAGGGAAGATCCTTCTGCTGAGAGATAGCGTGCTAGGTCCTGCGAGGCAAGGTCTGTGGCATGCGCCGTGGGGTGGCGAAGTCTGTAGTCGGCACAGAGATCGCTCTGGAATCGGGACTACAGTTCCACGGCAGGAAATGCAAAGTCAGACAGAAGCTAGGCAAAGAGAAAGCGGAGCTGGGATGGGCGGCTGCAAGCTGCAATAGCCTCGTTCATTGCATACACGGCCTCGTGGTCGTCCTGGAAGAGTCCCAATGCAGTAGCAACCTCGTGATATCTGGGATAATATTGTCCCCGGATCGTGTGGGCGTCTTTAAAGCTGCACGCAGGTCGTACCTGGAGCAAGGCCCGCAAGTCGAATGCCTGTTTTAGACGAAGCGGCACGGTCTGAAGTCGGGTGACAATAGGCCGACGGAGCCGCCTGCGCAACACTTTCTGACAGAGGGTACGTTAACGTTTCCTTAGCAAGATACGCTCAGGCATCATTCGTCACATTAACGTCCACCCAGACCGAAGGCTGACTAATCAGATACGACCTTTTAATTTCCCGGAATTGGTACGATCTAAAAAAAAAAAAGAAATCCGGTTGCCGCCCAGCCAAATCCGAGATCTCCAAGATGCCAAGGATCAACCCCAAGCGAATCAAATAGCTCATGTGGGGCTATACTACGGGATTTTGGAGACCAGACGACGGTACAAATCCTTTATACTCAACCAAGAACACGTAAGTGTATTGCCTTCTCCCGTCTCGCATTCATTGATTGATTTATTGACTCTGTCGGTTTAGCCGAGCTCGTTCGTATTAGTATTGGCGGCAGCGGCAGTTAGACTAAGCCGTAGCACGCCTTCTGGACTGGAAGATTTTCCGCCATGTACTATAATAGGAGAATTTGTTGACAGGTTTTAATCTTATCCTTCTCGGCATTGCGCCATCCAGCCTTGCAAAAGGAAAAATGCTTGTATCATGATTTCCCAATAGACGTGTTGATTTCTCAATTGCCACAGAAATTCAAAGGTTAGAGGCAAGTTGGATCTTGCAGAGAATTCAATCAAGGCCAGAATGCCACCGTATTTCTTGTCTTCAAATAGCTGTCAGAATTCTGGATTTGGTAACACCTTTAAATGTTTGTATCTCTTCTGCAACGGCCATGGAGACCTCCCAGTTGATATAGTTGGTGTGTCTGATGCTATAGGTCACAAAATCAGGCTGAATAGCGGAAACAACAGCTATCTGCTGACCCCTAGATCTTAATCCATTGGTGTTGAGAACTAGTTGGAAGAATCTGCCGATGTCTATATAAGAGCCAGTCTTATTTGAGACGATTATTGATCTCTCACAGTTCTCAAAAATCCTTTCAAGGTGAAGGTCGCGTGCACAGGAAGAATCAACCTGATGGACATCGCCGCCCGAATCATCTCGCGCACGGATGGTGGTTGTGGACTGGAGTATCATTTTCACCCAATTTAGTTGAAAGTTTGGGATAATTCCTCCATTGTTGGGGGTATTTGCGTTTGGCTCAGACAAAACTTTCAATATGAGCGAGAATGGAGATTGGCTGTTTAGCTGGATAAGGCGGGGGGAAAAAACTTTGACGGTGTAAGGAATTTTGGTCTGTGATGAGCCAAATACGTTCCTCAATTTCCCTTTGATGCTAGATATTGGTTGTTCAATTGTTGGAAACCGTAATGGTAGTCGGACTTTTCTTTCAAAGATATGCTCTTGTAGACCTTGATCGCGAGTTGGAAGGTACGGAATAGGATGAAGGAGGATGATTGGTGCAATTGCCTGGTTCTCACGGATCGTGCCAGCATAATAAAAACGAAGCTCAGCTTTGACTTGATACTCAATACCTCCTTCTAGACGGTCTCCAAATCTGTTGCTGCTGAAAGAAAAGCTTCCTGGCAAAGTGTGACATGCCAATATTTGAGCACCCAGGGGTATAAAGCTCTCTTCATCAGAATGCTTCTCCAGTTCTGCAATGTCTGGGTGACTCGGAATCACTATTTCAAAGGCCCATTTTAGGGCCTCTCCGGATATAGCACTCTCAGAAAGATGGAGAGGCCCTTTGAACACAGTCTGCCGCATAGGACGCCAAAGATTCCAATGCCTCAGATTTTGACAACTATAAAGGCCGCACCTGATAAAGATAGCTGTCCTGAGGCGGCCAGTTAATGTCAACGTCAGAGTGGCCTCAGGAGTGACAATAGGTGAATCACGCACTATGTGCCCAATGACTGTATCTCCGGCAGCATATTTCCAGCCCGGTGGTGCAGAGATCAGAATTTGGAGATTGGATGTGTGGTGTTTCATGTTAGGTAGTTTGACTTGATAAAGATTCTGAGCGGATCAGCAGGGAAATATATTAAGTTAATGCCTCTAAAAGGACAAAAGCGAAAGATTACCCACATCCTCTCAGAAGCCGACAGAAAGGAGAAAATAATTCCCTTTCAGAACATTTTTAATTGTATTTCTTGAGTCCAAGATGGACCACGATGGGAGAGCTCGATCCGCTTCCCGGCTAGTTAAATGAGAGGATTATTACCTGACAATTAGGTTTCATGACCACTATAACAGAAATTTTACTGAAAGACATCTAATGCGGGCCCTCGAGAGTCAACCTACCCGAATTGATTGACATGAGGATTACTATTCCGGGAAACATTTCATCTTAGCTTAATAATAAACTACAGCGAAACAACCGTACATTAATTTTACCTACATAGGTAGGGGTGAGTCAAAACGTTGCGCAGAGTTCGAAAGTCTTGGTAATTTGGAGATAGTACGTGGGACAATAATGCATTCCGAATCGAGCTTGTTGTATATCTGGGTAGGAACTGGCTCGTGTAGCTCGCTTAGATAGCTTGACTTGCTTCAGCCCAGATTGGAAACCCCTTTCCCACCCTCTTCTCCAAGTCTTTCGGGGCTATAAGGTGATTGGATTAAGGTGTAATGCGTAGTATTTTGGTGTCTTACGTGTCTCACCGACCTCTCATTATCAAAGCCCTTCTTATCAGTTTGTTGAATACTCCATTTACCAGAGACTTTTTTCCTTGCTCCGCTTCTAATTAGAGCCTGGGCAACTAGAATTGACGTTGAACAGTTCATTTGAATCTTAATTTTTACTTCTTCCCTCGCTTAGAAACATATAACACACCAAAACGCTCATACAATGTCAACACTGTCAATCAACGAAGCTGGTAGGAGCTCCGTTTCTGCTGAGCGGGCAGAATCATCTCCAGTTACTGGATATATCGACAATGAGGACCATGGGCTGGCTCATCAGGGTATTGACACGTCAAGTGGTTTTCGAATGCCTATTAGGATTCTTGGTGCTTTCTTTGTTTTCTTCAATGTCTGGTAAAGACACTTCTCTCGGCTTGATGAGCTTTTTACTAGTTGCTAATAACCCAAAGGGGACTTACATTTGCTTTTGGGTCCTTCCAAAGCTTTTATGCGCTGGAGTACATTCGATCTTCTACCTCATCCAACATATCATGGGTCGGAACCATCCAGTCTTGGCTCCTTGTTTTTAGCGGAATCTTTGCAGGTCGATTATTTGACCTTGGCTACTATCGTACGCTCTTGATAACTGGCAGCTGCCTGGCTACCTGCGGTACCATCAGTCTTAGCTTCTCCCGCGAATACGTCGCCATAATCCTTAGTCAGGGAGTTTGCACAGGGCTTGGATTTGGCCTACTCTACGTTCCCACAATTTCCTTCATCAACAAATGTTTCCCTCAAAAGCGTGCGCTAGCCCTTGGCATTGCCACGAGTGGAGCGCCCGCGGGTGGGATTGTATACACAACAATCTTCAATCAACTTATCACAAAGATCCAATTTGCCTGGACCGTCCGCGTCTTAGGGTTGGTGATGTGCCTTCTTTTTCTCGCTGCTAGTGCGATCCTTCTTCCCACGAGTCCAAGGAGAAAACATTCGAGATCTACTGAAAAAATGAAGGTTATTGACCTAAGAGCACTCAAAGATATTCCGTTTTGGAGTTATACACTTGCGAACTTCTTTCTCTACCTTGGCTATATTACGCCATACTTCTACATTCCGACGTATGCGCAAACGAGACTACATACAACTTCTGTCTTTGCTTCCAATATTCTAATAATCACGCAAGTATCTTCAATCATTGGCCGGGTTGCCACCACAATTATCGCTCACCACTTTGGATCAATGATGCCTTGGATATTTTGCGGCACGTTGTCGGGTGTTTTGTGCCTTTGTTGGACGACTGCAGACACATCCCTGCGCTTTATTGCTTTTTCAGCGTTTTACGGTGAGTTCATATTGCTAAAGCTGGTAATATATCTTTTACTGAATCGTCCAGGTGGAGTTTCAGGTGCACTGATTCCCCTACCACAAAGCGTTTTCCCACATATTTGCCCTAATCAAGCAGTCCTTGGAACCTGGCTTGGCATGGCGCAGAGTATGGGAAGTTTTGCATCGCTTTTGGGGCCACCGGTCGCAGGCTTGTTGGGGTCACTTCAGGGACACAATAATAGCAAGATCAGCTTCACAAATATTCAGGATTTCAGCGGCAGTGTCATGATATTTGGGGCGATACAGCTCGTTGGACTGTGGTACCTCCTGTGCAAAAAGAGAAATAAGCCCAGGATTTTCTAGAGGTGAAATAACATTCTTAACCAGAGATCTTCACTTTGAACTTGTTATCTTCTAATATGAATATGACTTTCACGTAACACTAGGGATAGTGAGGGTGGGATAGAAGCCTTGCCATACTATTTTAGTATTTATATATGGCGAGGAGGAGAGAGAGTTCATCCACGAGAGCTAAAGAATCAAGGAATTCGTACAAGAGTGTATGAGGAAATATGTGAGGCGTAGGCTTTCGCTTCCAATCCAATGAGGTCATGAAACAGGCTTATCCAATTCCTGTCGTTCGGCCACTATACGAGCAATCTCTGAGCCAGCCTCCGTGCCAAAGTTCGCCAAACCTTCACTCACATCCACGCTATCCTTTTCACCCATTTCTTGGCTCATCTTGAACTTCGTCCCAATCCGAGTGATTTCTACCTAAATTTCAATAATAGCATGTTACATAAACTCAATATATCGGTCTGCGGCATCTGAAACCATCCAGTAAACCTTGCTGCCCCCCGTGGGAGGGATGATATCAAATGAAGTTCAGCATATTGAGCAGGATCACTGATTTTTAGAGATAAAGGACTCGGTTCCACTGTCAAAGTAAACTATTGCTTTGCCATACACTTACACAGCGGCATAGTTCCATCTCGGAACGACGTTGTGGTCTAGCAGGGGCAGAAAAGAGCTTCTCATTCCAAGGTTTTCCGTAAGAAATGTACGGTTTCCAATGACTAGTTACATGAATCTACTCTAAGCTATGTCCCATATATACGAACATAGGGTGTAGAGAACAGGGTTTCCCGTCCGTTCAGCTGTACTTAAGCCACACGCCGGCAGATTAGTAGTATGGTGGGTGACTACATGCGAATCCCTGCTGTTGTATCTACTTTTTATATATATTTTTATTTATTTTTGCTACGGTTCACCTGATTCTATTCAGTGGTGCGCAAAGCTGAATAAAGGATAGCCATGTTGTTCCGTATGGGCTGATTGGAATTTGGTTGACACAAAAAAGAGCGTCCGAATAGAAAGGTACTATTTAGAAGCTAATCTCATCTCCCCATCCTACGCCGCTGAGAATAACTTTCCGCGGAATCATTAGATAAAGAGGTTAAGAATGCTGCTTTCCGAGCTTTAATGCCGGTAATGTTCATTCGGCTGCAGACCGGCATGAGATTGTTGAATTTTCCATCTGAGTGCTCAAACTGGATGGCTCTGGAGGAAATCGATCGTATCCACAACGGACTTTTCCAATGATAGATATTCTAGCTGAAGAATCTCCTTCGAGGAGTTGTTGTCGAAGCCATAAAGGGGGTTGGGTTTGTCCGATATCAGCTCGATCGGAAGTTTGTCGGCATACTGAGGGAACATCTTCTTGGCAATATCCGCAACTTCCTTCATATCAAAATGGCCAGCAGTTATAAAGAACCGCTTTTCACCTGCATCGGGAACTTCCATAGCCCTGACGTGAGCAAGGGCGACGTCTCGTACATCAACCCAGAGCCAGATGCCGGTCGGAGGCAGCTTTTCCTTCCACCCTCCATGCATCAGCATCGCGAAATAAGCGTTCGATGTATTGAGTGTCTCTCTAGATTCTGGAGGATGAATCGGAGGTCCAAATACACAGGGAGGGCATATCGTTGCAAGCGAAAATCCGGGCTTCTCGTCTTCCATGAAGGACCATGCAGCTCGCTCAGCGAGAGTTTTACTCGCACGGTAGGTTTTGCCACGATCTTCAATACCTTCCTCGTAGGTAACTGGGTTCCACTGGCTCTCGCTATACACGTCAGGGTGCTCGTCTGGGCAAATAATAGCAGCAAAGGATGAAGTAATGACGACTCGCTTTACTGAAGGGGCCTTGTCTTTGATTGCGCGTAAAATTCCCTTCGTTCCATGGATAGCGGGGTCGAGCAGCTCCTTTGGATATTTGAATCGGAAATGGAGGGGACTTGCTGTGTGAATAACAGCATCAAATGGGGGGTCCGAAATGACGGCTTGGTCAAAAGCGCCTTCTTGGGCAATGTCGGGAACAACCACGTAGGAAAGCTGGCCCTTGGTGGATTCCGGATAAACCCTGAGAATCCTTTCCCCCTTTTCGGCACTCCGAACTGTGGTAACCACAGTATGGTTGCTAACGAGCAGAGCCTAGACGCCGTGTCAGTGTCGTCGCCAAATCGAACCTGTATACTTCAACATTACAGGTCAGTACCTTTAAGCAATGAGAGGCAATGAAGCCAGAACCACCTAAGTCCAGGGATTAGTTCCTTCCGGAAATGAGAACAGGCATTTAGGATGCTGACCTGTCACGAGAACCTTCATTCTTTCGGTTCGGTCGCAAGGAATCGGAAGCCTTGTGTAGGTGAAGACTCGGGACGAATGAAATATCGTGTAGTATTGAATGAAAGCATTCAACAAGGGTGGTTAAAAGGGGGATATAATGGAGTCGGCTGAGTGGCGGGAATTCCGATTCCAGATTCCCGATTCTTGACCGTCGATCTCCGATCGTCAATCGCCGATTTCTTAAATCCGAGCCAACGGAGAAAGTTACTACGTCATGCTATCTGCACTGTCACTCCATGTTTTGTTTGTAAATCGGGGCTCTAGAATCACCTTTAGTTCTTAATTCGTACCCGATCAGAAGCAAAATAGCTGTCCCACAAAATAGGCTTGATACGGTGACACCCCTGACCCTAGTAGACCTGCGAGCCTGTCCCTTTCTCTACCTCGAGTCACCAGGGACGACCGGTATTTTTGGTTTTTGTTTAAAAGCCCCATGATATTCCTGTAGTAAGGTGACAGATCGCTACCAATCTTTCACAGGTAACCACGCTTCATAGAATCGTGTATGATTTCCACTCTTACTCTAGAATAGGGCTTTAGGAAACACGCTCGTCGTTCCTTCTCCAAAATACCAAGAAAGCACGCGCTCAGTCCTTCCGTCGGTCAAAGACCATTGAGCGGAATATATCTTCTCCAACAGAGAAATGCACAGACTAGGGCACAAGAACAACGCTCTACAAAGTAATAGGCTATTAGTACTTCAGACCGATCTACGGACTGGTTATCTTTCTCTCCATCTCAGAGAGATTGGATTATTTCCGGTCGCTTCTGACTCAATATTCTTTAACGATAACACTTTACGCCACAATGCTAGGTAACGGTAAAGCCGCACGTGACGCCAAGCATATACCCCCGGCATGACTCCAGGGAGTATACGCGGTAGTATACAGCGACTCCAGATCTACCCCTAGGGAGTAGATATGGAGTAGGAAGGACTAGATCTATAAGGACACGGCACCATGTATTTAGTTCTTCGCGATCAATCTCACATCGTTAGTTGGTTACTACCTTTGGCACTTTGCACTTCACAGTTCACCTTTAGAAGACAACCCAACCTACAAGTAAGGGAGCTCACTTAGTAGCAATACTCGGTGACTGACTTACTTGTCGCGCACTCTGGCACATCCTGCAAGATACTCAAAAGGACCCGAGCCCGTATAAGGCTTATCATAGCAACGGTACGGTTGCGAGATACTCTTGGGATCGAAGTTTGTGCCGACAGGGCCGGAATCAGCCGCCTCAGCACATATCGTTTTTGTACTAGGCTCCTTATGCCACTAGAGTCTGAGTACTCTCACAACTCTCACGTGGGCGATTGAGATCATCGGCCAACTCTATCTCTCGCCGATTTTGTTCGGATCCACAATTTAGGCGTGTCTCGAGCTCCAAAAGCAGAACCAGAATAAACCAAAATACCAGGATATTGCAGTTCACGATCTCCTGCCTCAGTTATCAGTGAATACTTAGAGTATTGTGCATATTTCACCGATATTTGCTCCGGCGCCATGAGACCCCGCAGATTATTCCCCAAATACCCGAGAAGTCTGCTGCTATTCAACTTCCCGTCAGCTGTCCTAGGCTTGTAGACCGTCGTGTCGTGTAAGGCGACTAGAAGATAGGAGCCGATCAAATTGGTGACAAGCGTTTAATTAGTGCTGAGTGAGTAATTCAGGCAAAGGTTATGAACAGACAAATTGTAACTTGGCACAGTTGGCACAGGTGGCGAAACGTGGGGTTGGTTTACCCGTTCACGTCGGCTGAGGCTTGGCATAGAGAAGCTGAATATTAGGAATGTCAGATGAATGTTGTAATCTGAGGAATTTCGAGCCAAGATTGATTTGCTCAGAAAACTATCCTGAACTAACGGAACAAATTGTGTTACACAACAAGTATTCTAAATGCAGATTTCTCTCAGCAAAGTCCATACTTAACAAGTATCTCGCACGAAGGTTGTCTTGCACGAAGGTTGTCTTGCAGGAAGGTTGTCTTGCACGAAGGTTGTCTTGCACAAGAAGTATCCAAGTAAAGACTACCCTATATGAACACATTCCACATTTGAAAGTACGATCACTACGTTAATGAGTAATGTAGCATAATTTACTATCACAACTTAGTGGACCGTTCAATTAGTCAAAAGGATTCTGCGGCGGATGAATATGATATACTATCGATATGCCATCTGCTCTGTCAAGAGAATAGGAAAACAGCTATACTTACTAATGAACAGGATTGAGTTGAACAGGGTTGAGTTGAACAGGGTTGAGTTGAACAGGGTTGAGTTGAACAGGGTTGAGTTGAACAGGGTTGAGTTGAACAGGGTTGAGTTGAACAGGGTTGAGTTGAACAGGGTTGAGTTGAACAAGGTTGAATTGAACAGGTTAAAACTGATAGTAGTTATTGAATGTGTTGACTAAATGTGCCGCGGTCTTTTAAAGTCTAACTATCGAGTCGTTCCACGATCATTATTTACTTCTTGCACGTATTGTGTGCCATATAAGAGATAGCGTGAGAATTAAAGGCAGTGATGAATTACACAAATACATTTTAAACATTGTTGATAATTGGATAATTTTGGATTCTTAACAGTTGTTGCCATTTCCACAGGGGAGGGGCAAATTGTCGTGTAAAACTTGAGGACAGACCTTGGCTTCCTCAGCCTAAACTGAGTAATAGTCTCCAGCACCGCGAAGAGGTATCTGTCAATAGCTGGAGGGCGGACGCGGAACATGTCATCGCAGCCCGACCTGGTGCTTGACCCAGGATTTGTGCAAGACAGAAGTCTGCGTATGGAACTTAATCCGACCTGGAGCGTGGTCTAGGATTTTTCACCTGGTGATCCAGGATTTGTGCAAGACAGAAGTCTGCGTGTGGAACTTAATCAGACCTGGAGCGTGGTCCAGGATTTTTCACCTGGTGATCCAGGATTTGCACAAGACAAGAGTCTGCGTGTGGAACTGAATCCGACCTGGGTGTTGCCATCACCCAGGATTTTGCACCTGGTACTTGATCCAGGATTTGTGCAAGACAGAAGTCTGCGTGTGGAACTGAATCCGACCTGGGTGTTGCCATCACCCAGGATTTTGCACCTGGTACTTGATCCAGGATTTGTGCAAGACAGAAGTCTGCGTGTGGAACTTAATCCGACCTGGAGCGTGGTCCAGGATTTTTCACCTGGTGATCCAGGATTTGTGCAAGATAGAAGTCTGCGTGTGGAACTTAATCCGACCTGGGTGTTGCCATCACCCAGGATTTTGCACCTGGTACTTGATCCAGGATTTGTGCAAGACAGAAGTCTGCGTGTGGAACTGAATCCGACCTGGGTGTTGCCATCACCCAGGATTTTTCACCTGGTACTTGATCCAGGATTTGTGCAAGACAGAAGTCTGCGTGTGGAACTGAATCCGACCTGGGTGTTGCCATCACCCAGGATTTGTGTTTACCTGGTATTTGATCCAGGATTTGTGCAAGACAGAAGTCTGCGTGTGGAACTTAATCCGACCTGGAGCATGGTCCAGGATTTTTTACCTGGTACTTGATCCAGGATTTGTGCATGACAAGAGTCTGCGTGTGGAACTGAATCCGACCTGGACCACGCTCCAGGATTTGCACATTGGCTGTAATCTCGACCGCAGTGAAATTGCAGCGAATGCGTGATCTCTCCATACCCTCAAAAGGTCTGGAAAGGTGAAAAAGGAAGAAAGGCGGATGGCTTGCCTTTTAACCTCCTGCGATGGGCCCTGACCCATGCCGCTAATGCGACGGGTGGCCCCCAATCATGTCTCTTTCCACAAAATTACAGGGTGCTGTTGTAACCCGACGAATATTACGGTCACATATAATCAGGATAAACCTAAATACTTTGGCCAACACGCCATTCATGGATCTGCCTCGCATAACCCTGCGTCATCGGAGAACACCCTCAGCTTGACCACGATGCTCGCAGCTCAGTGGCCGGCTCAATCATCCTAACCTGCAAACTACCCAATAAATAATTAATAAATTTTCTCAGACCCTTTTTACAATAATATTCTATCAATAGGAAAGTCTGGTCTCGCCGTTGCCAAACGCACAAATCGAATATGGCAAGATCGTCCTGAACGGCCCAATACGGTGTTATTATAGTACGATGAACCTGGTGTACAAACCCAACATCCGCTTCTCCATTTCAATCCTTGTCATTGTATTCTTTGCATACTATGAGGATGTGTGGCCGGATACAGTATTGTGATAAACTCAAATAGGAATACCATGGTCTTCGCAAGTACTCTTGATTTGTCCCATCTTTATCCTTTACCTGGATAACCTCCTCATTTCAAACCCTTACTTCCGGAGCTAGTCTAAAGATCCTGGATTTATCCGATAGCAAGGTTTTCCAGGATATGGGGAGTCGAGGATACATTGTCGATGGAACAGAGGCGAGACATTGCCGGACATTACCAGTCAAGATAGGAGGCTTGTGGAGGGGGCGTTTTTTGATGAATCCTGTACGGACACTCGTCACCTGTGGTTTCTCAGTCGTCACATGATAAGGCTCCACTCTCCCCTGGAACATGGTAGCCGATTCTGAACGTACATACAGGATCCAATGGAGCTTGAGCTGGATGAATCCCGCGAATACCTGCCTGTAGCCTCTAGGGTTGTTACGAGCACGGCCGCTTTGCACGCCATCTTGGAAAAAGGAGGACAGCGGTCGGCGGTGGACAGCCTTCTATTAGCATATGTCAAGGCTTTGCGGGGCCCCGCCCCTCAAGTCATAATTTACCTCTTTCTCGAATCTCGCCTGTAGACGATGTTGGCCAGAGTTAGAGAAGATCGTCCCCAGTTAGGGGGTACAGGGCTGTTAGCCGTATTGGGTTTACACATTCAGATAATTCCTTAGGTTAACGAACACTCATCGACGATCTAGTCCATTCAACGGAATTCACAGATACCTACATTACTGCTCTTGTGGCCCGTGGTTGCATTGGTTGGGGAGATGT